TTCAGTCAACCGTGACTATGGGACCTGTAAAGGGCCCGAAACGTCGGTTTGTTTGAAAAAACAAATATACGCGATTTAAATCTGGAAAAACAGTTTCATTTCCTATGTGTAACAATCGCGAAAACCTAAGAACTCGAATAATAATTATATTAAAGGTTTTCCTTGATACGACCTAAATTGCATAATTTTTGTTTTTGAAAAATTAATTTCTAAGTTGTGATTAGTCCATTTTACAAGGTTAACAAATAATGTATTTGTCTTTGTGAAGTTTTAAGGTATTTGTGCAAGAAGTAATACCTATAATGATCATCTGCTAACGTAACATATTGGAAGATAATTTATATAGAGAAAGAACAATACAAGCAGGTTCCTTGTGGATTGACTTTTGCATTTGTTGTATGTCAGATTTAACGCAAGTTATTTCGCCCGTTAAATAGTTAAAATTTTTAATTTCAACACATTGTTCTCTGTTTAGTAGATATGATTCGAAATATTTGTATGTGTTACCCCTTACCCTTATTTCCGCAGTTTTTCCAATAACATTTTGTGTTGTACCCTATCGTACACCTTCGGCATATTGAACAAACATCGATCGCGTATTTTTTATCGTTCATTACGTTTAGAATTCGCTGTAAAAACGTAGACCCTTTAACAAAGAAATAGTAAGTAGAATCAGTCAACCGTGACCATGGGGCCTGTAAAGGGCCCGAATCGTCGGTTTGTTTGAAAAAACACATATACGCGATTTAAATCCGGAAAAATAGTTTTATTTCCTATGTGCAACAATCGCGAAAACCTGAGAACTCGATAAATATTAAGTAGCTTTTTGTAATCAAATTTGAGTATTATAAGGGAGTCCGTGAACCTCTCACGGACACACTATCTGATTCCTTGGGGTCCTCGAACAGCAGGTTAGGAGACGCTGTCAATGAAGAGAGTTACGTAACAGAAATATCAGTCTTAATGATTCCGTTGCTACTATCGACTGACGACATTACACCATGTCCCTGGCTCTGAGGTTTGTAATAGAAATGTCTGTAATTTGTGCGGATGTATAATCAGATCAATAGCTCGTCCGGTATTTGAACCTTGCAATCGTTTCCGTATAAAGCTACTACGCTAAAGTTTCTTTTTAAATCATTCGTCAGTTTAGTTAAGTTCGTATAAAAAAGTAAACCGGTCCAATCCAATCAATGTATTTAATTACATTTTTATATATTTTGAATAACTGTGACGTGACGATATCATAAAAGACCGTGGAACGTAGTTACATCGTCGTGCTATGGGCCAAAAATCACTTAAATTATGCACTTGCGCGTCTTCGTTTATGTGATAAGAAAAATACAGCGTTTTTTGCCCAAGTACCGCTTGCATGAAATGTGCGGGGCAATTACGCATCCAAAAAAAAAATGTAAATATTAATATAAGCGTTGAAACGCGTTCAAATTTGAACACAAAGTGCTTGCTAATAGTATAGGATAAATCCCATACGATATAATCCTATAAGATAGGGTAAACCGTGCATAGGAAAATGGTTTCCATGGCGGTAACCGAGAAATAAACACACAGTAAACGTAAGCGGTAAAACTCCTAGAATACATTTTTTACTCTGGCATTCTTCAACTGGATTTGTTCCTATATATTTTCATCTAACGTCACTCAATTTCGTATATTATACAATAACAATAAATATTATTTATATGACACTATATTGAATACGTTTGTGCTGGGGTAGAATGTGCAATAAAATATCGCAGCCTTATGTACGATGAATATCCTGTGTCTGTATATGCTAAATTGATATATAATATTCATAAAATTATTTACTTTATGTTATTATTATAGGTACTATGAGCAAAGTTGTCGCCTCCCCAGTCTTAAAACGGCGTTGTCTGCTTGCGGATATGAATATGATTATTGCTAATCCCGGTACTTAATTTATTGACCCTTTTTTTTTTTTTGTAATAAAAAATGGTTTAGCCCATAAACGCTATTGGTTGGTCGCTGCTGCCTGTATGCAAACAGATCCGTTAGGCTCAACTCTCACTGGCGTAGAGTCGAAGCGTGGCGTCGCGTCCTGTTTTTCAACTACAACGCATGGCGACACTCGCATTAGCGCGCCCGGATCACAGTGTGGTCGGCGTCAAACGCGTCACTGCGCGCAAGTAACGCACGGCGACGCGCGAAATCGTTCGGCTTCAACCAAGAGTCGACGCGCGAAGGCGTGCGTCGTAGCGCGTCGACGCGCGACTTCATATTTGCATAACACAAGTTTGTACCCTAATAATGGGAAAATAGAGATGAATATGCTATAGGCGAAAAATCGCGACGCGACGACGCTTCGATTCTGCGCCAGAAAAAGTTCAGTTTTAAGGTTGTAACGCGTCGACTTTGCTGATAGTTTCGACTACAGCAGTCGCTAGTCCTATTGTTTAGAATTAGAGCTACGGTTGTTTGCTCTTTCTTGTGCGTTTAGATGGCTACAGTCAATTTTATTGGTAAATATTCACCCAGGCCTGACAGTATCTGCTCCTCAAATTTTGTCACCTGAGTATTCACAAACTACCTAAAATGGCAACTCAACTGCATCTCCCACCTCGAGGAGTCAATGTTGCAACTTTTTATGTGTCTTCAGAACATCCTTGTATATCAAGAACTGGCCACCTTGTTTCCGTTTGCCATTCTGGAGTTCAGAAAAGAAGCGCATTAGATATCCTGCATTAGATATCCTTCAATGTTAAGACATTCGCCCGCCGAAGCACATCGCTGTTTCATACCCGATCCGCCCATTTGATGTTAAGAATGTCTGGCAGGCACTTAATATGGAATCTATCTAACGTGCGTATTTGACGGCAGTATAGGTCCCATGTCTCGGAAGAATAGAGAAGTTAGGGAGTACAATCGCTGAGTAGACGGAAAAGTTTGTGGACAACCTGAGATCGTGTGAACGCAGCACCTTGGATCGAAGTTTTCCAA